GTTTCAAGTTTTAGCTCTTCCCTCGGATGTCTCGTAACTTTGTGGCCTTCTACAGCGAACGTTGGTCGGACTCTGGGTTGCCACCACTTTCGACGGTGGAAAAAGCGAATTGGGAAGATTCGCGCTATATTCGAAGATAACTTGCGGCCGGATCCCATGATCATTCGTGTTGCGGTAGAACTTGCATCTCTAGAAGAGGATGCTTTGCTTTCATTGCTAGAACTCACCCATTTCTCCATTCGCAATCCCCAAGACGCATTCTTAGTGCTATCTGTCCTTGACGCCTTCAATGTGGCCTCAATATCCAGGATTCTCATCGCTATCTGCACAAAACTCTCCTGTGCGGTCGGGTGGCTACGAGGAATTTTAGCCATAAGGATCTTCACCTCGTTCAGAGCCTCTATAACGTCAAACATGGACATCCAGAAGTGTAAGAAATCGATGGTCATAATTGCGGCTGTCGTCTTCCACGACGAAGAATTGTGGAGTGCATTCGAGACATAAAGAGCGTTGAAAACTTCCACAATGAAAATAACGCTTTCAGGTTTGAGATCATGATTCGTGTGTTGACGACTGACCCAATTCTTCGCGATCAGTTGAATAATTGGCAAAATGACGACGAACATCGCCTGGTGAATACCAGTGAGTGATACAAATCCATAAATGTAGATCGGGTAGATGAACGTGAGTGCTACTTGGCAATTGAATACTGACAATTGTCGCTTAACGTCTTCCCATAAGGTCGGGTCAGCTCTCCATCGAGGTCCTGAAATGTAAACAAAGCACGCAGTTGTCAGGATGACGTCGGGCGGTGCTACAATGAGTAACCCGAATGGTAACGGGAAGACTGTCAGCACACATAAGAGGACAATGATTCCCACAGAAACAGCCGACGCGAATAAAGCGGAGAGGACCACTTGCCGAGGGGTCAGTTTAAGACGAGGTGCACTTTGACCCATTTGAATCAGCACGTTTCCACTTATGAAAGCCAGTACCAACCATGAACGGACGAAAAATACTTCGTTGTTGAACACACCCGCTTCTGGAGGACTGAGAGGTGGCAATTCTTTCAATAAACTGATGGCGAGACTGGGTAATGGCGTGAATACGAGTATTGCTAGAAGTCGTGAAGCTTTCAAACTTCTTGAGTACGAGGCTAGTCTCTGAAGGCGGTCTACCGAATATCGACCTTGGAATTCGACTTGAACAGACATCCATGCTGTCCAAAGCCGCCGAGTCGTACTCTGAATCTGCTTGATCATGTGTGGAAGGATTGAAATTACTACCTCAATGTATCCGTTTTTAGCTTTGGTAACCCAGAATATCGGACTCATGCAAAAACTTGAAATAGAAAACAATATATCATCAAACCGCATTTTAGACGCGAAAAAAGTCGTACCAGAGCTGACGAAGTTTTGTCCCAACACCTTTACTTTTGCTACCAATTGACCTTATGCGAACGGGGCGGAAGACGTAGTTCCACACTCAAGAAAATCATCAACTTTGATCGAGACCTCCTGGCGACTTTCGATATGAGCTAGGTAACTTACCTGTGGCTAATAGAATGACTGCAACATTAAACACATAATTCGTCTTATTCGCGTATCAAAAAATTCAGTGGCTGTAATTGAAGCGCAGAAATCGAACATTGGATCAAGTCCAACTAGCCGTGTGATTCGAGTAGTCATCAGAACTAGTCAGAGTCGTTGCAGTCCTCCGATTCGGAGTCCGAAGCCGTTGTGTAGTACACGAAACCGTACGATTCCGAGTAGCCGGCAAAGCACGTGTACTCAACATCGGTGCTCGAGACGGACATGTCACTCACAGCGTCAGTACACTCTGGATCGTTAAACAACTGCAACTCTAGTGACATGTTCGCATTGACGACAGCGATGGCAGCAGTATACGACGCGATGTCGGGTAGAACACGACACTGACCATCTGCATAGAATGCGAGTCCGTTCACCCAGTTGTCACATCCAGTAGGAGGTGAATACTGCTCCAGCAGCACATAAGGCGCACTCGCATCAGCGTAGATGGAAGCAGTCCCCTCTCGGTCGCTCTCGTAGCAATCCACCTTGCTCGAATAGACTGTGCCTCCGATGGAAGTCACGGTACAATCTTCGACTTTGCACTTATCGCAGTCTTCCTCGTAGATGAAGTGTGGCGTCCCGGAGCAATTGCCGCCCTCGAAGTAACTCGTGAACGCAACCGAACCCGCGTCAATCGACGGGAAGAGTGATGAAGCAAAGACGCCCAAGAAAACTGCGGCTTTGTACTGCATCGCTTGAGTAGGGTGGAGTGCAACTGATGGTGTGAAGTTGTTAAAGTAAATTGAGAAGTGTGTTGTGTCGGTTTACGACGAACCGGGTATGAAAACATGATTCGCCTTGGAGCTACTGGTAACTAGATCCCAAAATCTTGGTAATCGTTGGGTTCATTTTTGAGCTTGGCTTGTGCACCTCAAAAATCCAAGATTCAGACAAAGCTTGAGTCGGCACCCCGAATATCTTGCATGATTTGCACGTACCAGGAATGTTACCAAAGGATGCTCTTTGCACACACGAAGTAATTGACTAAAGGTTAGTGGCGCTGACGCAACAAGTCCACTTTAAGAAGTCAGGGTTTCTTGGCTGGTGATTTATTTATCAAATCGAGGTGAGCTAAGAGCATCATCATTAGCCTCTGCGCTCACCAAGTCATTAAACCAAATGGGCTAATTTGGCATGCAAAAATCGTTGTTATTTTATCTTGGACATCAAAATTTCTAGTTTAACTCAGACACCCATTCATACAACTGCACCAGCATCCACACTGGCATGATTTTTTATGATGAGTGAAGAAAGGGAGTAGGGCGTAGCTCAAATAAATATTCAACTACTTCGAAGTATCCGATACTGACTACCACGAAACTTACGAGCTTAAAAATCACTGACACTACATTAAACTGGGTTGCCAATGAAAGCAGGTTACTGAGGTAAAGTAATAAGATGGGAACGACAAGAAAAATGGCGCAAAAGCATTTTGAATAAGGACTTGTACTTCATAAACGAAAGAAGTGTAAAAGTTCTGTTCGCTAATTTCTATTATTACTCAGTTGTTCGGCTTAGAATCATGTAGCCATGCGAATTTAAAGCTAAAGTCAGCACCTAGGATTGGTAATTGAAAGGGATTTTGTTAGCAGATTGACATTTTAAAAACAAAATGTCAAAGCTTAGATACATACCGATGTGAACCAACGAAATCTGCATGACGTAGATGAAAAGAATAAGCAGCTTTCCCTGGATAATCCCTGCTTGGTTCTCTAGTACGAACGATAGTTGGCCAGTGGGTAAAAAACCTAGATTTCGTTTCAACAAAAACATCGCCATAACCAGCGACGCAAATTCCAATGAACTGTAGATCAAAACGCGAGAGATGGTCGAGTTCAGCTCGGAACTCGAAAGACTCGCTAATGGTGGGTAGTAAGCGCGGTTATGCAGATAATACACGATCATGTGATGAGCACCTGTTAGAATAAATATATCGTTAAGCGTTGTAGCGTTTTTGATTCAACTAGAAACGAGTGCTTGTACTTACAGTACAGTAGCGGGAGAACCACCTCGATGTACTCCATAAGAACAAGATACTCCGTGATAAAGAGCACCCGGGCGCTTTGACGAATGAATAATGCGCGTTCCTTTTTCGAAAACACCTCTGGAAGTTCAATACACGAGCTTTGATCTAACTTCGATTGTGTTTCTGTTCCAGTTGACAGACGCACGGGTTGTTGATTTTGTACTGGAACGACAGGAAGAACTCGTGTTCCGAGAGATGGTTTCCTCGTTTGGCTAGCCTTTTCGTTTGTTTCATCGTCTTCATGCTCGCTTAGACGACTCACGTTATTCTTTGCGTTTGTATTTACCCAAGATTCAAGCCTACTTTTCCGAGTCGGATGCGATGCACTGATTTTTGACATTTGCTGCGTTTCGTGATCCAATAACCGCATCGCTATCTGCAAGAAATTTTCTCTGCCAATTGGATGCCCCTCTGGTATCTTCGCCATGAGCACCTTCACTTTGCTCAGGACCTCTACCACGTCAAACATTGAAACCCAGAAGTGCAACAGGTCCACCACCATAATAGTTACTGTCGAAGCTTGGGTTGAGGCCACTTGAAGCGCATTCGCAATGTATAGTGCGTTAAACACATCCACATTGAAAATTACGGCTTCTGGTTTACAATCATTGTGACCGGCAAGAGCACGGCTAACCCAGTTTTTGGCAATCAACTTGATGATAGGGAGTACCACAACAAATATCGTTTGATAGACACCAGTAAACGAAGTGAATCCGAATATGTACATCGGGTAGATTAGTGTAAGTGATATCTGGCAATTCAACACCGCCGTCTGCTGTTCCATTTCTTTCTGAATCGACGAGTTTGCCTTGAATTGAGCACCCCAAAAAATTGCGAAGCATACTCCATACACGACAATGGACGGGGGTGACGCTAAAAGCATGGTAAAGGGCACTGGGAATACGGTGGCCGAAGCCACTGCGTAGAGAGTTACGACTGATGCACCTGCTGACAGTACAGCGATAGTGACTATATGTCGAGTTTTCACTATCAAAGCTGGTACATTTTGACCCATTTGGAAAACCATTGAGCCGACCATGAGACCCGCAACAAAGCCGAAGCGAATCAGGAAGACCCAGTTGGCGCGAACTCCAGCTTCGGGCGCTGTCAGCGGAACAGCTTCGACCATAATTGCCAATATGAGGCAGGGTAGAGGAGACAATACAGCTACAGACATCACTCGACAAAGACTCGCTGTCTGCACGTAGTTGTTGAGGCGGCACAGTCGCTCAACGGAATACCGACCATGGAACTCAACTTGCATGGCCATCCACGCAGCCCAAACACGATGGAAGACATTCCAGGGGGTTTCCATATGTCGCTGTGGCGCAGACCAATCGATCACAAAAAAAAAATAGTTTCAATGCCAAAGTGCTGACACAAATAGTTTCTTTTAAAAAAATCTAATACTGTCAAATATTTTCTTCACTGTCCAACTAATGATCTTCTGAACTCTGCAAGGCCATCCTGTAGTTCTTCGTCCTCTTCTTCTTCATCGTCATCGTCTTCATCATCAGATGTGAAAGCAGGGAACCCTGTTGACGACGAAATAGGTGTTTCTTCGACGATACTACCGCGAGTCTCCGGTTGCAGCCGATGGAGACGAGATGCAAGCGCGCTGTTGATTTTCTTGACAGCATCCACTTGATCTCTCGATTCGCTCAGAGAATCCTGTAGCTGATGCACAGTACGCTGTAACTCCGCGTTCTGCGCTGCAAGACGCTTAGTGCCTTTGTCCTTGTCACCAACACTGTCGAGTACACTTTTCAGCTCTGCCAACTCGTCAGCTGTGCTCTTAGCATCCGCCTTGACAGCGGCAAGTTCTGCTTGGAGAGTTCTACGCTCTGCCAATTGTGTCTCGAGGTCGTCAAGTGGCCGGTTGTTATTGGCTCCTACCAACTTACGAAGCTCCTTCGAAAGCTCCAGAGATTTAGCGCGGAACATGTTACGCTCGGTAATCAACTTGACCTGCTCCTCTTGTAGCTGTGTAATTTGGAGCTGCTGATCCTTAATTTGTTGCTGCAAGTCGCTTGCACTGACTGTAGCAACAGTACCGGACCAAGCATCACGCTCCCATCCCGATACAGAACTCACAGTAGCGCCTAAGCCTTCACCATCCAGGAACTGCGCCTCTGTTTGAACACCCTGGTCTGTCATCTCTGCTGCACGCTTTGCCGCTACGCTAAGCACTTGTTGCAACTCTTCCTTGCATTGCACATGCTTTCGCTCTTCGTCCTCTAACTTCGTACGTAACGAGTGGATTTCACGAGCTTGAGCGTCGCACTGTCCTGGGAACTTTTCAAATTGTCGAAGCTTCATTTGCTGAAGTTCGATGCGATTGTCTTTAACTTCCAGCGACGCAGTGACCTGTTTGTTTTCCTGCTCGGCGGTTTTGAGAAGAATCGACATGGACGAGAGTTTCTCTCGAAGCATGGCGATCTCTTTGTCCTGTGCTGCAAGTCGGCCTTCGATAAATACATTGTCGCCAGCAATACTGGTGCTGCTCTCACTGAACCCATTTTTACTTGAGGTCATGGCAGAACGCGATGGCGTTGCAGCTGGAGTTACGTCAGAACTTCTCTCTTTTGTAGGATCTCCAGCATCATCAGGCTCCAAGCCAACCAGATCACTGAGTCGCGCACTTGACACGGACGTAAATGAGCCTTCGCTTTGTAGTCGTAGACGATTCTTTCCAGCAGGCGAAGGCACAGCTCCCGAAGACGGCGTAGTCGTCGGTGATCCTGTATTGCTTGCTGTATCTGAGTTATTAGCTGGTGACATGGCTCCCGAGTTGGATCCGACGGATTGAGAGGCAGTAAGTGGTGATGGGGGTGTCGCTGCAACTACAAACGCTGGATCCATGAACAGATTCCTTTCATCAGTTTGCGCTTGTTCTTCTTGCTCAGACGTGATCAAACGCGCTCTAAACTTGCGGATCAGGAGCGTCATAATGTCACGGTTCTGTCTGTTCTGCGCCACTAAGAAAAAGCAAGACAAGGATTGCAGCTGCGCGTGTCGCTTCTTCAGATCACACACGTCACCTTCGCGGTTACCCAGGAAGCCCCCGAACTCTTGCACTTTCAGTGTAAACCGTAGTTGGTCCGCAGGATCTAGCAGCACCTGAAGAAACGTACTGTACGCAGCCTTTACCACCACCCCTCCTTCATCCTCGTCTTCTGAAATCTTGACTAAACTCACATCGTCTGGTGAGATCTTAATCTGGAAGCTATCGTGTTCATTACTCGCCAACGTAGCAGAGAACGACCCCGCACCTGCTTCAAGCAACACATCGACCGTATTGCCTACCGCTGGATCAAGCACCAATGGACTAGGCATCTCCACGACACGTTTGAACTGAGGAAATCGCAGCGACTCACACTGTAGCGATAAGATTGCACCTACGTCATCCACGGACGGGAAGTAAGGACATCGCTTCACACCTTTAATCTGTCGAATATCCATCTCTGGTGGAGTTTTCCTGAACCACGTGAGCGCGAATTCATTCACATCGTCATCCAGAACACCCACAAACCTTCCTCCAGTAGTCACGGCGACAATTGGCGTCGAGTGCAGCACGTCAGTGTTTGTATTCACCGGCGTTTTCCGATGACGTCCTCCTGTTGAACTGTTGTGAGGTTTGAGTGCGAGATCATTCATCCAGCCCTTCACAACATTCTTATCTTCTTCAGGTCGTGAGGGTTTGTTGCCCATCATACGAAATAGGTTCTTTTTCACGCCATCTGTACCCACTTTGCCCAGCGAGAAGCCGAATTTCCCTCCGTTTGTCTCGGAACTGGGCGAAGGTGATCGCGGTGCGTCATTATTGAGCTCTGAACCGCTATTCTTCTGCTCAAACGACCCAGATCTTGTCATCTGGCTCAATCTAGCACCCCACCCTGCACTGCTAGACGGCGACATCGGCGGCAACGGCCCACTTGAGTACTTTCTGTCCGGTTGTATCGGCTTCTCCTGAACCAGGTTATTATGCTCCTCTCTATTTTTCAGGAAACAATGGAACGTCAAAGTTAATGGGAATGTCGCCTCTCTAGCCGTCGTAATGATCTCTGCAAACACCATCTTGGTTACATCCGCTGTGTTAATTAATACCAATTCATCTCCGGGATAAACTCGTCTTGAAGCTTCAGCGTCCGCCATAGATCCGTCCGGTTTTCGTCGAAATCCTTTCACTCGAGCTCCTGTTCCATCGTCTCTCGAGTATAAATCCACGTAAAGGGGTCCTGGTGTCGGATACACCACGTGAACTTTCTGCATAGTGCCTCTGGGTGATTTCATTGCTGCAAAGTCGGCCATTCCGGCCAGTAAATTTCCTCCCATGGACATAAATCCATTAGGTTTTGTATCGGCTGCTGGACGCACTGAAATGGGCGGAGGAGGAGGCACTACACCCTTAGACATTAGCGCAGACTCTGAGTGTGCAGGACTGGCCAGGTAGGCCGCAGGAGCTGCGGAGTTGACGGCTATAGGAGTTCCTATAGTCGAGTTTTCCATTCTCAAGTTCCCGGTCGATTGTGTGCGTCGATGAGCATCCCAGACGCCGTGGAGGGTATCATTCGAGCCGTCTGTATCCGTTCTATTGGGTAAGAGTGATATGGGTGCGGCGGCAGCGGATACAGCCTTGGGACGACCGATGGCAGCCGGAGAACCTGACTTGAGAGGAGATACCGATGACGAACTGGGTGATAACTCGACTTCTAGGGGGAGTTTGGATTCAGGGAGCATGCCGTCGTCTTCTACAGTGTCTTGTGTGTCTAGGAATGCTGATTCGTCGTCTGAGGACCCATCGTGCGCCATGGTCGAAGAGCGCGAAGCTGTCGAGCTATGCGTCCGCTCGGGAATGTGGGTACCTTTTGTGGTGAAATATCAGAAAATCCGACAAGACACTGAACCTTGGATATCGCATAATAAATTCGGCTTAGTTAATTTTAGGGTGGTGATAAACTGGCCACAAAAACAGAATTGTTCTGTCAAAATATTGCATTAAATTTTTTTTACGGCAAAATGGTGGCACCATGAATTCTGCGACCTCTGCACATGAGCGACCACCAGTAAGAACACAGCATACAACAGACAGCGCAACTTTTTGCGACTTGAATGGCCCATAGTATATTGTAGAACAGCCTTCATCATTTTACTTAGGAGATATCTTTAAAATGGGTTAAGCAATAAAGGTTTTTAAGCTTCAATGTTAGAATCCAGAGCTGTTTCGAAATATGGCTTTGATAGAACTCGTTATTTGAACTCAAACAATCTTTTCACTAAAAGCCAATACGGACCAAATATCTATATACTTAAGTAGTTAAGTCTGGATATATAGTAAGAGAGAATAGACCGAGAGCACATGGTCTATTCTTTCTCATTCAATTCCAAGCGATAAAGCTCTGGCGAAGTTCATCAATTTATCCAATGCCATTTTTTTCTTGAAACGCTAGTTATACCGAAGGAGTACATTTCTTTAATTAAAAGTATAGGCAGTGGAGACGGTGGCCTACGTTTTAATGCCAAAATTAAAAAAATAATTATCAGGCATGGACTACACACTTAGATTTTATTTATATCTTACCCGCTTGTTAGTTAAAACGACAAAGGACATAATTAGATTTTGAAAAGCCACTATAAATGGAGACTGTGGCCAATGTTTTAATGCCTTTTCGACAATCCAGTCTAATGGCACAGAAGCTACGAAATGCCCGATGGCATCTAAGGGAGGCGTGGGTTTCGATTCAAGTGGAGTATCAAGGTAGCTACTCGGCGGAGAGGCTTCGACAGCTCGGATGTTACATGGACGGTCTCAGTACACGACGGATACTACTGGTTTGTGCGCTCACCCCCCTACCGTGTCTTGTGTTGAGTTTGCTAAAAGAGACCCCACCACTATCTCCTGCCGAAGCTGGGGTGTACAAAAATGGAGTTTTCTTTGTCCGATCATGGGTTATAATGTGTTTTATGGGCGCCTCAGCTCTAGTCCAAATGGGTCATGGTGTGCCTCGACTTAAGTTGACGAAGTTCCAGATTGTCTGGGTTTCTTTGCTGGCAGCTACAGTTTCGATCTTGTTCATATTCGGACTGTGCGTTCTGACAGTCTTCCCACTTCCGTTTGGCTTGCTTATCGCGGGTCCACCGTTTGTTATTGTGATCGCTGCATGCTTCACGTACATTTCTGGACATCAGTGGCGAACTGATCCTTCGATCTTGGTGGATGTCAAGAGGCAGCTTGTGGTTTACAACTGTCAAACTACGCTTCCCTTTGTTTACCCATTGTACATATTGGGCTTCGTATCGCTTACTGGAGTTAACCAAGTTGTGTTCGTCGCTGTATTACCCATTATTCAGATTGTTGCTAAAAATTGGATCAGTCGTGCACTTGCTGACGATCATGATCAGAAACCTCAGTGTGTCATCTTCGTCGTTGAGGTTTACAACGCACTTTACGTATCAAATGTTCTTCAGACCGCTACATCTTGGGCATCCACAGCTACGATTATGGCAGTCGATCTGCTCCAGTTTTGGGTATCGATGATTGATATGGTGAAACTTCTTAAAGAAGTGAACTTGCTAATGCGTAAAATTCCGCCAGACCACCCATGTGCGAAAGAAAACTTTGTGCAAGTGGCCGTTCGCCTTCTGAATACTGAGCAACACCAAAACACTATTGGATCGACTGCAGGCACGATGTATACAGAGAAGAAGATGTCCATGGACGTTGCGGGTAGTAAAAATGAAAGAAGTACGAGTGCAGCTACCCTGGAATCATACAGAACATGCCAAGATGGAAGACGTAAAGAGAGATGGATGATACTTCAGAAAGCACGAGTTGTCCCTTGTAGCCCACCGACCCAACACAGTAGACATCAGAACAAGCAACACCTAGGTCCCATTGTGCCCGTTGCAGCTGAAGGACCGCAGATACCTACTAAATATGATCTTTCAGGCGGGCTTGAGCAGATTTTCAGTCGGAAGGAACGTGCTCGTTTTGTCCGAAGAAGTGCTCACCTGCTCTTTATTATAGAGTATCTCGTTCTGGTTGAGTATGTCGAAGTGGTATTGCCATTTGTATACTGTAAGTAGTCTACCTTACTACTCTCTCTCTCTCTCTCTCGAGGAAATGTTATTAACGCGTTCTATTTGATATTCACCTAGGTTTGCACCAATTCATTTTATTCCACATGCCCAACAGTGCTCATTACCCAGCGTTAGCTGGATTATCAAGAGAAGAGTTCACGGCTAAAATGCTCAGCACACTACTCTACAGTTTCTTTGAGCTCGGGTCATTCGTCATGATGGTCATCGTACTAAAACGCAGACTTGGATATTCTGGTTTGCAGCAGCTAGCCTTTGTTCTAGACGTGTACGCCAGTGTGGTTCAGACGAAGCTGAACTTGATTTTCGTCTACATCATGCAAGTGTCGTTGGATCACCACGGTGAGTGCATTTGTGCATTTGGAAGATCTATCGCGAGGGAGACTAACATGTGTTTCTTTTTGACTACGGTAAGGTGCTGATTTCACATTTAAATTCGCGTGGTTAAACTCGAAGAGAAAGTTCTGATATTTTGAATAATACACATGGGAAACGCAACTTAAACACATTAAGCAAGCTGGTGTTTACTGTCGAATGTAAACAAGAGGCAGAATCCGCAGAACCGACCGTGTACGTAGCCAAAATCGGTGCGAATTCGTATCTAAAACGTCGATCCGTTTTTTTAATGACTTGATCGGTGTGTTGTAAACAGTTGTAAATTTTTGAATTTCGGGCGTTTAAATTAAATGTACACTATTAATACAGATAATAGATGCTCTGCACACGCCCTTAAAGATCAATACTAAGTGTCATGTCGACACCTCAGGGAAATAGAGAATTCCACTGTACGGATATGGGTTTATAATCATCGAAGTGTCGTAGCCCTGTACAGTGTCTACAAGACACCGCCACCAGACGAGTCACAGCGATGCCAATGGTAAGTTCACCTACACCCTAAAAGGTAACTGTGATGAAAACTGCAATAGGGCGTAATTCAAGAAATCGATGCAAATTGATTTTTTTTTTGCCCTTGCCTGACCGCAACAATGGATCTTGGAATGCCATCGATATAAGGTATCGCAGGATAACGACCTCAAGTGCGAACAAATAGACAAAGTCGCCGCTAGAAAGCATGATTACAACGTACAAAGCGGATTACGGGCAATCAAGAGAACGCCACACAAGCGAAGTATCATTGTCATTTGATGAAGTTCCTTTCCAGTTGTTTTGTTGAACTTGAGAAAAGATGGACTTTCGGGTAGTAGACCCCACTAGATTTCCGCAGCCTCTCTACGATAGAGAGGCTGCGGAAATCGCTCCAAATGCTATGTACTATGTATACTGTAGATGCCTTTGTATAATCGCGAGTATATTAGCCGAGTATGGAGCTTTACTTTTTAGTGTATGATGCTATTCCAATTGTATATATATTTTTTTAAATACAATATGCATTCTTTTGTGCGTAACTCAGCAACCACTAATTACAACGTACTGGTTTACTCCGGCTACAATGGTAATTATTTCATATTTGGAGCAAATCTAGTGTCCACTCTAAGCAAAGAAAAATGCAATTTTTGTTTTTTACAATTCGCAAGTGGTTTGATGTAATGCTTACCTGTAAAGAGGGGGAGCACTAAAAAAAACTC